TTCCTTTAACGACTCGGCGAACACAGCTATTGATATTGACTACTCGTATAATATCTAGTTTTAATTTTTGGACGATAGAAATTTTTCGGCCTGATAACTAGCTTACTTACTGTCGACATTATAACGAAAAATGCGACAGCAAGGTGTATCTTTTTTTCGTCAACAGTGTATTAATATTAAAGTTAATAATGATAAGAGAAATGCGGACTACAAATATCTTTTTTCTAAATAAAACCAATGTATAGTTTCTCAAATTGCTTTTTGACCTACTTCAGAAAGGAGGTGATACTAAATTCGACTGTATGTATTTATGTGTGTTACCTCAGAACTTTTTTCTGGGTGAACCGATTTTGACGATTCTTTTATATTTAAGTTGATGCTTATCAAGATCTGACTATTAACTTTTAAGTTATCCTTAATAATGTATAATTAACTTTGAATTCATTGATCTTCTCATTTTATTTATATTGAAGTCGGTTGTACAAAATTTTTAAATTAACCATTTGTGTGCTGTAATAACGAAATGTAGATTTAATAATAATAATATTATTAATAATTTAGTTTTTACTTAATACCTTATTAATTTTCAATATTGTCCAACCCGATCAGTAACAAGAGTAAAGCTCAAAAGGGGATAGACAATATCCTATTGAACCACTGCTGGGTTTTTCTTTGTGAAGTTTCAAAAACTATCTTTTATTCTAAAAATTAAGAAAATCAGTTCATAAAATAATTATTTCATTAGATAAAGTATCCGGTTGTGTTTGATAAAACGAAAATAGTTACGGCCCAAAAAAACTGAAATGCAAGTGACTCGCCCAAATAATAGATGATATTAGAACAAAGATGTGGAGATCCTGGAAATATTTTTTTATAAATAGATACCTATATATACAGAATACATACATGATAAAGCAACGCTGTACATCTGCTTCCACGGAAACCTTTCTTTGTATAGAATAGGGTGACAAACCAGCACACAGTCCACCTGATGATAAGTGGTTGCTGTGGCCCATAGACATCTACATCTATCCTCGATTACGAATCATAATGCAGATGTTCAGTGAGGACTAAGATGGAATGCTGTAAAAGGGTTCCGGTTAGATTGTATTCGCTGGTATTCTGTGAGAGCGTGGTCCTTCCCCGGGCGAGCCGACCCATTCGTGCTACAACAATATCAATAATATAGCTGCAACATGCCTCTACCACGAAAATAACCTGCAGCGAACTTCAAACTAAGATGACTAGAGATGCGTTGTCAGATCTAAGAACTAAGATGGAATGCTTCATAGACTGTATCCATATTATGTTTACCATCCTTTCTTGATTAAAAATATTTTAATAAATTATACCCATAGTAAAAACCATTAAGTTTATTAAGTGAAGCTTTATTTAATATGAGCGTAGTTAAAACTTACTAAAGCCATGTTAAACGATAATTATTGATCATTAAAGTTGCAAGAAATCCGAGGTGAACTCGATGAATAGGTACCAGTTTCAAATAATCTCACAGTTAGGACTGGCGTAATATGGAAAGGATAATACTGCATGTTTGTAAAATTTATCAAGTTTTAAAAGTTATGAAAAAAAACTAATTTTACACACAAATGTTAATAAAAACTAAGAAATAAATAACATTTTAGTATCAGTAGGCGGATATTATACGATAAAAACTCTCTGAATCTTGTTTCGCATTTTACTAAGTACCAAATTTCCATATAAGGAACTTACTCAGCGTACTTTGTGAATTTCACAAGCATGCACAAAGATCCGTGAAGTGAAACCGTGCGTCAGTTTCAGCTGCTGTAATTCCTCGTTGACCTACATATCGCACGTGGCTAATTGCTTCTCATTGGTGATGGAGGCGGTCATCGCACGAAGTCAACCTAGCCGCTAATTGATCCGCGGCGAAGTAATATTTGGAATGTTATTTAAGATCGCATATTGGAACACCTTACATGAATGACATTTCTGCGTCAATGCCGCCAAAATGGCAAAACAAACGACGCAGCCATAAGGTGCAGAATAATAAGGTTCAAATTTAACTATGTTGATCCTTTTGATATATAATTAAATTCAGTTCTAAGGCAGACCCTGGACAGTAATGCGGCATGGTAGGCGCTACTTGAATGATTATAATTCATAACGGACCTTCATGCTAGGTCAACAATAGTTTTTTTTCGCATTTTACGACACTATTTATTAGTAACTATGTATATGTTGCGGAATTATAGTTTATCAAAATATGGAGCAACAATGTCAAAGGCAGTTTAATTTAATTGTTTGAACTATACCTTTGCTGTGCCGCAAAAACAAAATATTTCTTGCGTTTTTGTCTATTTGGGTATTTCTCATTTTAAGTAAAAATATTTGTGACTGAGATTTATTTCTATGATAACATAACGCCAATGGATTTGATATATTTATCAAGGTTATGTTACCTAGTCTGGTGAAATCTACACGAAAACATACTCATTTTATTCTATATATTATTTGAAATATAAAAAATAAGCATGAAAATGTCTTTTCCGTGGATGTGATGGAAGCAAATTTACAGATATAATATATTTGTTCGCGTTATTTTCCATAAATTTTCTTAAATGTAGGATATTATCGCAAACTCAATAATGATACTGACTCATACATGCGAATAACTTTATAACTAAATGATAAAAAGAACAAAAAACCTAATTTCAAAATGTGACTGAATTTTTTTTCACTTCCATGGATGCAGGTCACAATAAGTTTTCACTTTTAATAAACCGTGCGTGTATCCGAATTTATCTGAGCATAGACAAAGCGACACCTGTCATAATCATAATTAGTTGTCAATTTCCTACATACATACATAAGCAAGAAAGACAAGCATACTAGTCACTACTGTGGTTGTTTTGACAAGTAAGTATATTTGTCTAATTTACATTTTGTATTGCTGGTTTTGTAGGTTTGATAGTCCATAAACGATGGCTAAAATAGGTTGTTAAAATAAGACTTTTGAGGTTAGTTTTCCGCATTTGGATTAAAATATTTCCTTTCCATGGATGTCACTTCCATTGATTATGTGGATATTTTTTTTCCATGAAAATGGCCTCAGATCCAGGGATGTCAACTTTAACTTGAAATGATTACTGGACTTATTTCTTTAGCTTCTTTCTTTATTTATTACAGACATATACATCCACAAAATGCTTTTTAATACATGTTTAATTATATATTTTTTTAGATGGTGAGAAATAAAAGGCCAAATACAGCAGAAGAAATACGTAAACAAAAGAGAGAATGCGAACGAAAGCGCAGAGCTCGTATTAAAGCTGACCCAGACTTGTATGAAGCCAGTAAAAAAAAAGATAACCAGCGTTATGCAGAAAAACGACGCAAGTAAAACTAGTGTCCGAAATGACTCCAAGAGTACGGCGTGCTAAGCAACGTAAAGCTAGGAGTAGACAGAATAAAAAAACAATAAGCGACTACTACAAAATTTTCGAGAGAATACTCCGGATTCCATTGCTGATGACCAAAACGTAGCGAGCCCTTATTTTCAACAAAATGTGTCTTCCCTTTCTCAACCTTTGTCTCCTGCTTCTTCAATTTCCAAAAGGTCGTTTGTTAGTCCTGGATCGTCGTTCTCCAGAGAAGAATGTCACACACCTTCTCATAGCTCCAATTTAAGTAGGCAAAAAGTAGCTGGTCTTCGATATGTCCGAAAACGACGTGAGGAGTCCAATCTCAAAATAAAAATGCAGGCAACTGTAATCAAATCAATGGAAAAAAATCAGGCATTACGGGTATAATCATTGAGGGCCAACCATAAAATCCAGGATCTTTCTAGTCCGCCGAAGAAACTTGCTACTAAAAAGATTGTTACAAAAAAACTTAAACGGTTGCATTCAAAAATTATTGCCTTCTTAAAACGTGATGACAACAGTAAGCAGTGTCCGGGAAAAAAGATATCATCACCAAGAACAAAATGAAAAAACAAAAACGTTACTTGTGTGATACACTCACTAATCTCCATGCCAAATTTCAAATCGAAAACAAGGCGAAACTTAGTCTTGCAACGTTTTGCTTTTGTTTTTCGTCAAGTTTCTGAAAGGGATACATGTTTTTGTGTTACACATGAAAATATGCAACTCAAGTTCGATCATTTGAAACACTTGAGAATTTTTAACTCTACAAACTTAACAGACTTGTGCAACAGCATGGTTTGTGATATCAATAAGGAGGCTTGCATGTTACGTAAGTGTCATGTTTGCCTGAATAAATCACCTGAAGTACAATCTTTTGATGGTTCGGAAACCACTACATACAAAACGTGGTGTGTCATAAAAGAAAAGCGATTGAATAAAGGAAAAGAAATGGAAATTAGACGAACAGTAAAAGGGCAGAAAACAGTTACAAGAAAAGAGATAGTAGAATCGTTCTTAAAAGATTTAAAAATGTTTTTAGAGCATCAATTTAATATTTCTCATTAATGCAAACAAACCACCTTAATGAAGAACAACCTTGTTGATGGAGAAATCTTTATGCAGATAGATTTTTCCGAAAATTATTGCTGTAAATATGCGACTGAGATTCAGTCAGTCCATTTCGGTGCTTCTAGACAGCAAGTCAGTCTTCATACTGGTGTTTATTACTATAGATGTCCAGATACGCAAAAAGTTAATAGTTGTTCATTTTGCACATTTTCTGAGAATTTACGCCACGATGCAAGTGCAATATGTTCTCATCTTCAAGAGATACTAGATCTAATTGTATCGTCATGTACAATTCAGAAATTGTATATTTTAAGCGACGGTCCTAGTGCATAGTACAAAAACAGATACATGTTCTATCTGTATACTCAATACTTGGCAAAGAGATACAGTTTAAAAACTGTGACGTGGAACTTCTGTGAAGCGGGCCATGGCAAATGGCCCATGGATGGAGTAGGTGCCGTAATCAAGTGTACCGCAGATCGTGTTGTTGCGCAAGGGTCAGATATATCTGATTTCAATACACTTATGAGGTGTATTAGAGAAAACACTACCAATGTCATAATTTCAACCGTAACTACGAAACAAATTGAAGAACTTAATAAGCTATTGCAACGAAAAATCAATAGTGTTCCTGGAATCACAAAAGTTCATCAAATGACATGGGACTCGCACGTGGCGCAAAAAATATTTTTACAAAAATTAACATGCCTGACATGCGCCTCCGGAGAACGGTATCTACACTACTCGTTGCCCAACAGTTATGTGGAATTTTCTAACCCATTGCATATTTTTGAAAGTCTTGAACTGGAATCGGAAACTGAAACGCCGCCGGTTGAAGTAAACGAGGAAAACTTAGATCGGCGGGAAGAAACAGATGAGAGAGATAGCGAAGAACAGGAGGAGGAAGAACTGGCTAGTGAGACTGAAGAACAGGAGGATAATGAACTGGACAGTGAGAGTGAAGAACTGGAGGATAGGGAACAGAATAGTGAGGCCGAAGAACAGGAGGATTGGGAACCGAATAGTAAGGCGGAAGAACACGAGGATGAGGTACTTGACAGTGAGAGTGAAGAACAGGAGAAGGAGGAACTTGATAGTGAGACTGAAGAACAGAAGGATAATGAACTGGATAGCGAGACTGAAGAACTGGAGGATAGGGAACTCGATAGTGAGACCGAAGAACAGGAGGATTGGGAATCGAATAGTAAGGCGGAAGAACACGAAGATGAGGTACTTGACAGGGAGAGTGAAGACTTCAACATTTTCTGATTATCATTTTATTTAAACTTTATTTTTATTATAATGTTAAGGTATTACTGGGGCTGAAATTAGATGGTGCCATAAGTGTAATGTTTTTGATCTCTTTAGCAATTACTTTTAAAGAATATACAGGGTTATATGTAATTTAGTTTGGACCGGATCAGTACATAAAACTTTTACTATGGAACTAAGTGTGAATTCCATAGACAATGTTTCTATCTACTTGACCCAAATGTATGGAGCAGCAGATCTTTTTACGCGATTTCGAACTTGATCTCACAATCAAAGTTGTTCGTATAGACGGGTAGTATCATCCCCAACTGTCCACACTAAATTAAAAATACCCAGCCCTGTATAATTAGCTTCAAAGTCAAATTCAAAGCAATTAAAGCTGATTTTTCGAACTTTTGCATGTTTTGATTAAAATCAATCCAATATATTTATCATTGTGTATCATAATTTCTTTGGATAATATAATTTGTGACTTCATCTTTTATGAAGCATATATGGAATGTCATGTCTATTCTGTGAAGTCTTTTCCATGGTAAAAGAAATTGTATGAAAGTCATTTCCCTGGATCCAGTGTCATTACCATGGAAGTGCGAGATTTTAAAAGGTATTTCTAGTGAAACTAAAAAGTCGTAAGCACGGTGCATATTTTTCTATAGTAGATTATGGGTCTAAATTGTTGATATTTATGGGTATTTCATGTAAAATTCATCTAAATAATTCTTTTTTGTTTTCATCATCAGAAGTTAAAAATACCCATTTATGTTAACACGATTCGGTAAGATCTTGATATATTTGTTCCGTAAATCCGGTATTGTTTTGAGAATATGCGCCAAATCGTTGACGCCGTTTAGGAACAAACTGAGGGGTTACTTGACATGCTAACCCGAAGACATACTGTGTATGCAATTACTCTTAGAAAGACGGTCATCTGTGCATGAAAATCGTAGCTTGCATGATAAAAATCTAAAGGTCTTATACAAACCGAGGCCAATTAATATATGCCTAAAATTGCTCTCTCTCTTCTCACTAAATGACAATAGAAAGAGACAGGTATAGAGATATAATAGAATAGTAAAGCACGTCATGCCGCATTACCGACTATAGCCCATTTTAAGATATTACAGTCAATCATTACATTGTAAAGCACCTATTAATAATCGGTCGGAATGCCGGTTCAACGGTCACGAAACCCAATATTCTGACAGATTTAACGTCAAATCCATATTTACGGTAACAACGGATGAAAACGATCAGTTTCGATGACTAACGCGGAAACCAACGTCATTATGCTTGTAGATATTCTGACTAAGTCTTTCAGAAAACAAAACAAGCATGAATGTGTTTTTTTAATAAGTCCCGTTGCTTACTAATATTATAAATCCAAAACTGTGTTTGTTGGTTTAGCCTTGCACGGTAAAGATACAACCGATCGACATGTTTATGTGCCGGAGAGTGGCATGGAACTGGAGTGTAATTCCGTAATTACCTCTTTATTAATGGTCTTAGGTCTTCAGGGGTAGGACAAATTGGTGTGATAAAAAAGAAAACAAATATTTATATATTTTGTAGAGAAGGTTCAGAATATTATTAATTAATATAGGCAAATGGTGAAGAAAAATTAATTAAAAAAAAATTCTCAAATATTCTGTCCTTTTTATCTTTTAAATTCAAAATGCGTGAATGCAATATTTTAACAAATTTTTTTACTGCGCACGCAAACATTCGTAAGAGTCGATCGTAGGCAAAAACTTTGTTGCCCATAAATCACATTCCACTTGGGATAATTTCGAATAAAAGTAGAAACCTTACTTACTTTTATTTTCAAAAACTGCAATAACGTATTATTTTTTCGTGTATTTTCAAAAATAAATATTTATATACTAGAATTTAAGATATTGTTAATAGCAGTTGATTATGATTTTATCCCACACGAATCTTACGTCTTAGTTACCTTGAAACTGTCTTAGTAGTTAGTCTTATAGTCTCAAGAAAAGATGGCAAAATTAATAAGTCAAGGTTCAACAGCTACAAATATTTCGAAAGATATTTTTAACTATTGTAAAAATGTATCGCATATTTAAATTTTGTTTGTGTCTTTACTATTAAAAAGCAGCCATATTAATTGCATTAATTCTCTACAAAAGTATCTTTTATTCAGAGCCTAAATAGTAATCGCATGTTACCGTTACATTAGAGAGGGTTTCTCAATTATTCATCATCGGGCACATCACCGGTGAAACTAGGAAGTGAGAGTGTTCGAATAAATTCGTTACTAAGGCCGTGCGCAGAGGTCACCGCGAAGGTTGGCGCGAACAACAATGGCCGCCGATCTGCCAGTGATAGCCGGTTATTGTCTCCGCCGATTTGAATACTGCATGTTACATCTCCGTTTACAAAATGTGCTTTGCCATACTATCATTCGACTTAAAAGAACTCAAAAGAATATGGTACATTGAAATCCGTTAAGGTAGTAAAGAATTATTTGCTCATATGCCGTGCTTTAGCAAATTGAAGAGTCTGATGAATTTCTCATCGTTCCCTTTATCAGATCTAGAACAAATTTATATGGATCCCCTGAGGTATCCTTTTCCTAACATTTCTAACCAGAAAAACATTGAAATCGGACAAAGTTAAAAAACATTCCGACGTATTTAGAACGCCCTTTTTTAAGTCATTTGATATAACCATAAATACGAATACTTTAAGAAATAATATATAGTTACAGCTGCCCTCACGTTCTTTAAATGCCCAAGTACATAATTAACTTGTGTTATAAATTAAACTTTTAACGCCTATTGATCATTTTAATATAGATTTTCCTGTTGTCAAAACTGTCACCTTTTTAAATAACTTCCATTAATTAAATGTTACTTAATCACTGTTAATATATTAATATCTGTAAGTTATCTATGGCATAGATAACTAAAACGGTAGACAGAGTCGTTAATGATCCAGAAGCGAAAAACTGGGCTTCGAAAAAGGAAAAGGCGGGTGTAATGACATTTTGCATCAATGTCCTTACGCAACAGCCGCTCGTTTACTCATTTGAAATCGCAATGCGTGTTTCTGTTTACTACAAACATACATACTTACTCGTACTTCCATAGATAGATACGTAATCTGAACATTACAAAATTATGTCCGTTTATGAATTAAAATAAAAAAGATTAACTGTGTGAATTTTTTTCTGAGAAAAAAGATTAATTTTTGACAAGTTAAATGTTTACATGTGGAAGATATGGGCTAGTTATATTTATTTTCTTACTACGAAAAAGTAAAAATCATTACGAAATATTTTACTTAAAAGTCGTACTTAAATAACTGTGGAATTACCCAGAATAAAGAAGTAAGCAAATGCAGTGTTTTGCAATTTACCGTGTGCAGCAACGGGCGAATACTAGTTAAATTGTAAATTAGCACTGGCGGTGCCATTTCGTCTATAGTCATGACCATTTATTCGAGGTCTTTCAAACCAGTATATCTCTAAGTAAAGATACAGCCTGAGGGTTCTATGTTAAATGGCAATTCGAATATGGTCTTGCAATAGTGTCACAGTTTTTGTAAACTAAATAAAATCGCAATATTCATTGCACATTATGCGACGACATTTAAATGCAATAGTTTTCAAATTCATATGCATTTAAGGTATTTGGGAGTGCATCAAGCTATATTGAGTCGGTTTAAACTTCGGGGTTTTCAACCAGAGAGAAGTGTATGTGTGTAGTGTAGTATTTTATTTTTAGATACCTTCTTTTTATTGATTTTCATTCAAATTCCTAAGATTCTTAAGATATACTTGTATCTTACATACAAATATATTTTGAGAAACTAACGAATAAGAGCAAAAAGGAATAAGTACTTGCAAGTTGCATATAAGTATACCGAAAATATAATAGGAACTGTTTTACAATTTTATCTATTTAAATATTATAATAAAATCAAAGTTATTCCCCTCATTTCTGAAAGGGTTTAAGAGCGAGGAAATTTCCGTGGCGCTGCCCCAATGTATGATAGCGTACTTCACATGCATCCCATTTTTCAGACAGAAAATAGCACGTGGTAAATCGCAGCTTATAATTACAATTAATAGCTTCATTGGTACCGGCAGTGATCGAACTCGGGTTGCTCGCAAACTGTAAAATTTACAACGAGCGTTTAGTCCCTGAGCTACGCTACCCCTGTATGTACTACATTGTCCTATACCAACGAATTGTAAAAACTATATATTTCGTTGTCCTAAACCAATTCTAGCTTCTAATAAGTGTTTTTTACTGTTTCTTTGTAAAATTCAGAAAAATGGAACACATCTGGGACCACTTCGGTGTCTATCTGTTACAGAGGCAACAACTTTTTTTTATATAGACTTTGTAGTCCTTGATTTGCTAAAGTGTTTTAACGCTAAAACTAGCACGAAACTCTAATTGTGCACTTCACACAGTTTTAAGAATGTATAGTGTAAATCTAATCGACAGTTTAGGATTCCCTGTACGAATAATATTCGAAATGCAGTAGATTTATCAATCAATTCTAAATAGCATCGAGAGAAAATTGACGTGTGCTTGCTTAGTTAAAAGACTAGAAAGGCCAACTTCTCTGATATTCTATGTTTACATTTACATTTACTCGCGTTGGGTGGCTGCCGGGCAGTCTGGCTGGGCTGCAATTAGTATGCAACGAGTGCGTCGAATGCGTCGCCTTAGCACAGAGCAGTAACGTTGGCGTACGTTCACTCCCACAAACCTTGGAATTTGATCGATTGTGATGCCGCCTCACCGTGTATTTCCAACAATCTGTTTTCTGTAGTTATTTTATAACCTAGCAATGATTATTGCTTACAAATAAGCCTATTTAAAATTAAATTTTACAAGCCTAAGCATTTCACATAAACTTTATTTATTAAAATATAGTCTAAAAGAAAAATAATTTTATTTTTCTTTTTGACTATATTTTAATGCGGAACATCCGTTTCAATTTGATTAATAAGGTACATTAAATAT